TAAGACAAGGTTGGAGATTTAGCTTGGTGGTGTAAAGCAGGCTCCAAGTTCTGGGTTTTTGTCTCCAGCACTATTTTTTGTTTGTTTGTTTGTTTTGTTTTTTGTTTTTCAAGACAGGGTTTCTCTGTGTAGCTTTGGAGCCTATCCTGGCACTCACTCTGGAGACCAGGCTGGCCTTGAACTGACAGAGATCTGCCTGCCTCTGCCTCCCGAGTGCTGGGATTAAAGGCGTGTGCCACCAATTCCTGGCTCCAACATTTTTTTTTTTTTAATTATAGAGTGAAATCAAAATACTTGTTGCACAAGTGTGAGGACCCAAGATAGAAATCCCAGAACACACACTTGTGGAGCAAGTGTAAGCACCTGAGTGTGATGCCTGGAATCCATGCTGGAAAGAGAGAACAAGATCCTCAAAGATGTCCTCTGACTACAAGAGCCCCGTATCATACACATCCTCATGTACATATCACACACACACACACTCACACACTCATACACACTCACACACACACATTCATACACTGACACACACACTCACATACATACACTCACACATACACACACACATTCATACACAGACACACACATACACACATTCATACACACATTCATACACAGACACACACATACACACATACACACACTCATACACCCACACTGACACACATATACACACTCACATATACACACACTTAAATATACATGCATTCACACACATTCATAACACACACACATTCAACACACATAACAATAATAACAAATAAGCTTTTGAAATTATTTTAGATGAGCACACACCTTTAATCACAGCACTTGGGAGGCAGAGGCAGGTGAATCTGTGAGTTTGAGGCCAGCCTGGTCTACAGAGTGAGTTCCAGGACAGCCAAGGCCACACAGAGAAACCCTGTCTCAAAAAATCATAAATAAATAAACATTTTTTTGTTTTGATGTTTGTTTTGTTTTTCTAGACAGAGTTTCTTTGTGTGGCCTTGGCTGTCCTAAAACTAGGTTGGTCTCAAACTCATAGAGATCCTCCTGCCCCTACCTCCCAAGTGCTGGAATTAAAGGTGTGTACCACCACTGTCTGACCCCCGGGCTGCATTTTCAACATCCCCACTCCCATATAGAGAGAATTGTATTCAGGAGGGTGCCAAAATTCATGAAGCTAATTAGCAAGGAGCTTCAGCTTGTTTGGTAAATGGGGACACAAATAGCATCTGTCTAGTGACTGACTGACTGCAGTTAAACACATTAAGATGTCAGAAGGGCTTAACCTGTGTCTGGCATATGTTGGGAACTCATTAGTGTAATCTTATAACCCTCTGACTCCAAAGGGTTAAAATGTCACTTATGGTTTAGTTAATTTCAAAACACTGCGTCTAGCCGGGCGTTGGTGGCGCACACCTTTAATCCCAGCACTTGGGAGGCAGAGGCAGGTGGATCTCTGTGAGTTCAAGACCAGCCTGGTCTACAAGAGCTAGTTCCAGGACAGCCTCCAAAGCCACAGAGGAATCCTGTCTCAAAAAATCACACACACACACACACACACACACACACACACACACACACACACACACACCCCTCACTGCATCTAATGTCATCAGCAGTCCTCCCTCCCCTCCCGCTGGTGAGGGTGTGGGTTGGGGTGAAGAGCATGTGGCAGGATCATGCCTACTTCTGGGTGGTTTGGGGGTGGTTTGGGGTAGTCTGTTGTGTGCAGGGGTTCCCACTTCTTTTTTTTATTTTTTTAAAGATTTATTTATTATGTATACAGTACAGTGTTTTGTCTGCAAGTCTGCCTGCAGGCCAGAAGAGGGCACCAGATCTCATTACAGATGGCTGTGAGCCACCATGTGGTTGCTGGGAATTGAACTCAGGACCTCTGGAAGAGCAGTCAGTGCTCTTAACCTCTGAGCCATCTCTCCAGCCCCAGGAGTTCCCACTTCTATACTTTGCTTTGCTCATCCTGAACCTCAGAACTTTATCAGTCACCCAAGATGGAGTAAACTTGCCAAGATCTAGGGGGATTCCGGATGTTTGCCCTTGCTCCTGTGCCTAGTCCTGAGGCCTCCTATGATCTGATATCACACAGCAAAGTTCCGTAGAGTTGCAGGGTTGGTATAGAGGCCTCTGGAAGAGGCCTGAGCAGGGGTCTCTTCTTCCCACCCCTCCTTCATCTCCGTCTCCTAGAAATGGTTCCTGGTCAAGCTGTCTAGGCATGTCAGCACCTCTGTGACTTTGGAAGTGCTGTTGAGGAAAAGGAGGGTGGAGAACAGGGAAGGCCTTGTTGGAAGGACGGGCCTACATGGGCAGAGGAAGTCCCTGTTCTCTAGGCCCTTCAGATCCTTCAAGGTCCAGTGTGCCCAACACCACAGTTTGTCTGGGCATCAGGGTCTTAGCTTGGAAAACCGAGGATGCAGGACATTGCTTCAAAGAGCTCAACTCTAGGTCAACTCTAGTGAAGCATGTCACCTTCCTCTTTCCTGTAAAGAAAGGAGAGGGCCCTGCCTGTGAGCCTCCCCAGGGACCGTTAGCTCCCAGGTTCCTTGCTTCCTTTACCCTGAGGAGGTCCTCAACTGGTTCCCGTGGGGCCCACTCATGGCCACTGCAGAAGTCCCAGAAGGCCGACTTCCTCCTTCCCCGTTTCCTCCTTGCCTTCCTACATGCTTTATAAGCCACGGTGTGTCTTCTAGACTGGTGGCAACAGGGAGGCCCTGGCCCTTCAATGACAGAGTCCAACAACAAGGAGGGAAGTTGTTTGGAGCAATGCTTATGCTGAGTGTAGCAGATTCTAAGACCAAGTGCAGGGAGGGGTGTGGGAAGGGCGGCCATCTAACCAGTGGGGCCTGGTGCCTTTCTAACTAGGCCAAAGGTGGGGACCGTGCTAACACTGAGCGACCCAAGGAAAGGCGACTGGAGAGGAATCCCAGAGAGGCATCTTCGTCTCAATCATTAAAGGGAATAATGAGAAACCCTGGATGTGGGAGTTTAAATAGGGAGCCACAAGAGGTCAGGAAATCCTGGAGTTGGGGCTGGGGCAGGTGCGTTCCTGAAGGCTTAGGGCCAACTTGAGCTGGCAAGCCCAAGGCCCAGACAAAGGGATAAAGTCAAGATGGAGTCCACTCAGGACATCCGGGAGAGGAGAAGCGACCAGCAAGGGAAAGAAAGGGAAGTAGCATTTCTTTCTTTAGTGAGACAGAGGAGCAGAGGGCCAGCCCCTGGGTTGGAAGTGGGTGTGTGCACAGCTTCCTAGGCTCAGGTTGTGGAAGAGATACTGGGTGTGGGTTGGCAAAGGTGAGAACCTAAGTCTGGTGGGGCCCATGTGACAGTTCTGGCTGAATGGGGGACTTCCAATCATACCTCAGAAGGCTCAGAGGAGGCGGCAGTTAGTGAAAACAGAGAGGAAGCTCTGACGGCAGTGTCCATAGCACAGGTTGTAAAACCACTGGAAAGTTCCAAGCAGAGCAGCTGGGTTCCGTCTGTCTCGGCTCTGGGTTCTCCACTGACCCCAAGCAAAGCCGCCCCTGTGGTGGCCCCCGACAGGGGCTGAGCCTAATCGTCTCAACCGGTAGACTGGAAGCTCCAGGACAGTGATTTTGGACAGAATAAATTTGTTTACCACTCTATCCTGGCAGGTGCAAGGTGCTTGACCTGGCATACTCCATCTGTGACAGGGATGGGACCATGTCACTTTACATATGGAGAGGGGGTCCAGCAGAGGAGGCGAGTCGTCATCAGGGATTTGATCCCCAGTTGGGCTCAGCCTGACATCCGGCTCACGAGTTCTCAGAAATGTGGTGTCTGACAAACAGGCCAGCCCTGGAGACCCTGCAAAGCCTAGGCCAGAGAAAATGGGGTTCCTGTAAGGGAGTTGTTGGGCGGCAAAGGCAGCTGGCATCTCCCAGGCGCTGTCTAAACCAGCTGGCCTTGAGGTGGTGGGAGTCTGTTAGCTTCTTGCGTTTCTGTCCTCCTTCCTTCATTCACACTGGGTTTCTTTCGGTTCCCTCTGGTGGCATGGCTTCCTTTAACCCCCTTTGTGTCTCTACTCATACCACGGCTTTGCCCACATGCTCAGAGGAAGTGAGTGATAGGGTCATGTCAGTGGTGGGGAGTCACCAGGACTCTTGGTGAACTCCCCGGACTGCAGGCAGAGGCCAAGTCTCTCTGCACCCTCCCTGGCTCCTGACTGAGCAAAGGGAACTGAGATTAGTTTCAAGCAGCAGCGTGGGGCCTCACTTCCCCTTGGCTTGCGATGGTGCAAAGAGTCTAGAGGACCCTTTCGTCTTGGAAGAGCTGGAGTTCTGTTCACTGAATGAACACTACCCTTACTCCCAACACATGTCCCTGGCTCAGGGCAGTTCTTGGCTAAGGAGCTCCTTGGCAAGAGATGACAGGAACTGAATGGAGCAGAATCTTTTCAGTTTATCGTACGCCCTGCTGCTGATGCTGTCTCCCTTCTGCAGATGAGGGGAGGAGACACACAGGTCTATCCAAGCATGTGTAGTGTGAATGGTGCCTCTGCTGCGCACAGGCCTTGCTGGCTCTTGGTGAAGTTCGAAGGCTCCGGATGGGGCCTCATCAGAGAAAAATAGAGAGTGGATGAGGACTGGGGACAGATTGCCTGGAATCAGGGCTGTTTGTGTGTTGGGAACTTTTGTTTTTTCCTTTTTTCTTTTTGGTTTTTCAAGACAGGGTTTCTCTGTAGCTTTGGAATCTGTCCTGGAACTCATGCTATAGACCAGGCTGGCCTCAAACTCACAGAGATCGACCTACCTCTGCCTCCCGAGTGCTGGGATTAAAGGTGTGGGCCACCACCACCCAGCGTTGGGAACATTTGACAATAAAAAAGGCTTTTGGTGGCCATTACCCCAGATACACTTCTAAACCAACAGAATATTTTTCTATTAAGTGTAACTGACCAGAGAGCTGGGATGCATACAGCCCAGTGGCAGAGCATTTGCCTAGCATGACCAAGTCCTGAGTTCAATCCCTACCACAGCAACATGGAAGTGACCTCCAATGAAAGCAATTCTTATTTTGTGGAGGACAAGGTTCTCAGACTCTCAGCCATCCTCTTGCTCCAGCCCTGCAAGGGCGGGGCATTCAGGTAGGTGCCCCCACAGGAAGCCAGCAGTTTCGTTTGTTTTGAGGCAGGGTCTCATGTAGCTTCAGCTGACCACACAGTCAGGGAGATGGTGAACCTCTGACTCCCTGTTGCGTGTTGGGATTACAGGTATGGACCCACATGCCTGCCCAAGATGTTCTCTGTTTTAGTGAAATAAGCCTGATGTGGTGGCATCACATCAATCCTAGCATTCTTGAGGCTGGGAGAAGAGGGTTCCAAGTTCAACATCAGCTTGGGCTACACAGTCACCCCCTCTGATTAAGATGAAAAGGGATGAGAAGGAATCGGAGGAGGAGAGAAGAGGTGAGTGGTGGTTGGAGAGATGACTCAGCAGCTAAGGGTACTGGCGATCTTTGGGACCCCACATGTTGGAAGGAGAGAACCAATTTCTTTTCTTCTTTTCTGTCTTTCTTTCTTTCTGTCTTTCTTTCTTTCTTTCTTTCTTTCTTCCTTTCTTTCTTTCTTTCTTTTTTTTTTTTTTTTTTGGTTTTTCCAGACAGGGTTTCTATGTAGCCTTGGAGCCTGTCCTGGCACTCGCTCTGGAGACCAGGCTGGCCTCGAACTCACAGAGATCCGTCTGCCTCTGCCTCCTGAGTGCTGGGATTAAATGCGTGCGTCACCAACGCCCGGCTGGAGAACCAATTTCTTAAAGTTGTCCTTTGCCCTCCACACCTATTGCATACTGGTGTGCACACACACAGACATGCATACATGAGCATAAAAGCAACAATAGGGATTTGAAAGAATGAATGAAATAAGAAAGAAAGAAAACCAACCTATTCACACACACCCTTCTCCACTATTTACTTTTTGAGAAAAGGTCTCTCTGTGCAGTCCAGGCTGGCTGGGAACTAGTTATATTTATGCCTTCACTGCCTAGTGCTAGGCATGTATCACCAAGAATGGATCCACACATGGTTTAAACTTAAAGAATATGAAACAGAAGGAGGTGTGACTCAATGTAAGTTAGGGATGTATTTAGCAGAGACAAATAATATATATGTCCATCATTCAGGCTACAGTGAGGGGAGGGAGAGGTATACAGAGAGAAGGAAAATCAAGACAGACCCAAAGGATTCATTTCACTCATCGAAGTCCAATCCAGACATTCCTGGAAAGGCAGCAGAGGTGGATAAAGAAGCCAAAATTCTAATTCAGCTAAATACTAGCACTGTGTCTGTCAGTAACTCCCGGTGCTAAAATGTAAAGGGTAAACATATTTTATTTGCTATCTAAATGTGAACAACAGGGTGGTGGGGGGGGGGTGGATAGCAAGACGGCTCGGCAGGCAAAAGTGATTGCTGACTAGCTTGACAACCTTGGTTCAATCCCTGGGCCCCACATGGTGAAGGAGAAAACTGACTAACTCCAGCAAGTTGTCCTAGACCTACGCATGCTCGTGTGCACTCACCGAGAAACACACAAAATAAATTCAATAAAAATCTTAATTCAACAATTCAGAACATTTCTTTATTAAAGCATCCTTAGGACTGGAGAGGTGGCTTAGTGGTTTAATGCACCTGCTGCCTTTGCAAAGGACCCTGGTTCAGTTCCCAGTCACTCTGAGACGTGACTCCTGTCTCAGAGTCCAACTCCCTCTTCTGGTCTCTCCAGGTACTGCACGTTCGTGATGGACATGTACGCAGACAAAATACTCATACATAAAATAAAAATAAATAAATAAATCATTAGAAAGAATTAAGATGGTAAAATTACATATAAATTAAAGATCATATAATAAATATGTAATTAAAGCTCTCTCCATATATACTCTCTATCTATCTATCTATCTATCTATCTAATTAAGCTGCCTGTTGTGCTACACCTGAAATCTCAGCTACTCAAGGAATCTGAGCCAGGAGAATTGCTTGATGCAAGAGTTGGAGACCAGCATAGGCAGCATAGTTTTTTCCTTAAAAAAAATCCAACAAACAAACATAATAACCTTTAAAAATTATGATAGGGCCCAGCGCGTAGATACTTAGTGACAGAGCACTTGCCCAATATGTGCAAGGTTCATCATCAATCACGAACAAAAAATAACAATTACTATACTTGCATGAATAATGCAAGACAGGACTGGCTTCCCCAATTTCAGTGGAAATCAGACATTGAAATCACGAACTGGGACCTGTAACATGGATCATCCATCGGATAAAGGCACTTGCCACAAACCAAGACAACCTGAGTTCAATCTCCAGGACTCTGGACCCGCCACCCACCCCCCAGCAAACCAACAAATAACACCAAACACAACAACAAACCAGAAGCTGACTCAAGGAGTAGAACCTTCCAGAAAAACCACCCAGACTCCCAGACAATGTGGTGCTGACCCAAAAGTTGAATAGTGAAGAATGTTCCTGCATGAACAGGATGTTTGAAAGTTGAGGCCGGCTTATGGAATTGGGGGGGGGGGAGTTCAAATGGCAAACCCACGGTGAAGGTAGGAACGAAAGAAGAGGCGGTGACTCGGAGCCGGCGGGTGGGTGTATGCTAGGGCTGAAGAGAGACAGCGGCCCAGGGTGTGTTGACAGAGGCCTCTGGGTTCTGTAGCCTGCGGCTTGGTCGCCATAGGAAGCGGAGGACCCGGGGGCTCTCGTTCGCCTCGAAACGCCCCGGAATGTGGCTCCATCGACGCCTGTGCACGGCGGATCTCCCGCTGCGGGCGGGCGCGGACTGGGTGGGGACCGGGCGATGGGTGACTCGGGATCCCGAAGGAGCGTGATACAGGCGGCCGAGCTGTCTGTCTGCGCCAGGTCCTGGTCCTGGTCCTGGTCCTGGTCCTGGTCCTGGTCCTGGTCCTGGTCCTGGTCCTGGTCCTGGTCCTGGTCCTGGTCCTGGTCCTGGTCCTGGTCCTGGTCCTGGTCCTGGTCCTGGTCCTGGTCCTGGTCCTGGTCCTGGTCCTGGTCCTGGTCCTGGTCCTGGTCCTGGTCCTGGTCCTGGTCCTGGTCCTGGTCCTGGTCCTGGTCCTGGTCCTGGTCCTGGTCCTGGTCCTGGTCCTGGTCCTGGTACTGCCACCTCTTGGCTCTCAACTTCATCTACAACCACTTTCCTCAGTGAAAATGTCTGCCTCTAGAGGCCAAAAAAGCACCAACAATAACAACAAAAATACTGTTAGTAATTATAGAGCAGCTGTGGCCACACTTAAACCTGTAGGCTGGGACTTCTTATGAACACCTAAGTCAACTGCCTCATCTCCGTATCTCTACTAGGGCAGATGCCATTTTGGTTCCCATTCTGAAGGCAGGGAGACATGGAGCAGGTGGGTGTCTTGTCAATCAGTAAGGTAGTAAGTGGCTAGGGCAGGCCAGGATTCAATAGGATCTGATCTTCTGTGCTTGATGCTGTTTGGCAGCTACCTCTGTCTCCTGGTGGTATGAGTACTGATACCCTGCTGCTTTCAAGGTGGGGGAAGAATTAACATAGCATCTGATGAGGAACCCAGCTTGCTAAATCCTATCTCTGCCATGCAATGCATAACCCCACACCTAGGAGTCTGAAAGTGGAGGGGAAGTGTTCGCCGTGGGCTGGCATCAGACCCCGGTGCAGGTGTCTCCTGGACCCCTCGAGGGCCCAGAGCCGGTACCGAGGAGCCGGCGTGGAAGGGGCGCTTTCCTGGCCTCCTGGAGGCGCAGCAGAGCGGGGCGTCCCCAGCCAGGGCAGCGGTGCGGGAACCCTGCGGCGACTTCAGGGGCTGACCCAGGGGCTGAGCCCGGCGTTCTGCCCCGGGTGGAGCCTGCAGGGATGGTCACGAGGGCCCCGCCTGGCCTCGACACCAGCGTGGGGATAAGTGAACAGGACCAGAAGGGACGTGGGCTGGGCTCTCGGAAAAGCTGGGGTCCCTCCAGGGAGGACCTGGTGGCACAGTCTCCGTCCCTACTCCTTAAGCTCCTGGTTCAGGACTGGGAACAAGGTAGGAAAGCGCCCCTTTTAACTAAAAGAGCTGCTTCGGGGCTTTCCCTGGCACTCTGGCCTTCCCCCAAGCTGCCCCTGGGAGGAAGCTGAGAGAGGGTTCTTCCTGCCGCACCTGCTGCCCCAGAATCTCAGCCTGTCTGCACTCCGAAGGGGCAGGGCCCGGGGTGTGTCGCTCACCTGGAGAGGGCGGGACTTAGGCCCATGCGTGATGCCGGTAACCTTGAACTGAGTGTGGGGCTTAGAACCAGACAATCCGAGAGACAGCAGAGAGACAGCAGGGGTTTGAAGTTCTGCCTCTGTTCCGTTACGGCAGTACCTTCCCACCGGCCCTCGGGAGCTCACAGTGATCCGACTGCCCAGGAGGCCGGCCTCTCCTGGGACTTCAGCCCCCTGGGGATGAGCTGTGGGAACTCTCCATCCCAGCTGGGATTCAAGAGCTGCTGCTTCTCAGGATGCTTTGAGGGACGCTCCCTCGAGTTTTCAGCGATCTATGCCCATTTTGACATTTCTGTGGAAGACGGTTGGGGGCTCTGTTGGTTTCTCCTTCACAGGGCTGATAGCCACAGATCTCAGTCTGGGTGTTGCATCCATCTTACTGTAAGCAAGCCTCCAGACCCAGGAGAAGGCAGCCATGTTTAGACGCTGGAATTGAGAACTGATAGACCTAGGATCAGACTCGCATCTAAGCCTTCTCTTGGGGAGAAGGGAGTTTTTTTGGGTTGGATGTTGAACTTGGTCCTGCTCAGGGGAAGGCTCCTGTGGACCTAGCTGGTGGCCTCATCTGTGGCTAAGTGAATACACTCTCCCTTGGCTCTGGTGGCCTGGTTTGCTGAGGGGATCTTTTCTCTATCTCCCCATGCCATGCTTCAGGGATTGCTACTTCATAACACTGAGGCCACAGTAATAATTTCAAAAAGCTTTCTCTGAATTAAACATCAGGCCGGGACAGAAAGCTGCCCTTGATCTCTGGCTCCTTGATCCCTGAAGCACAGAGCAGGGGAGTGAGCCCTTCTGGTCTCCCTATTCATACTATCCTTGGCCGGCTATAGGCTGGACTGTGTGTGTGTGTGTGTGTGTGTGTGTGTGTGTGTGTGTGTGTTGGGGGGGATCTTCAGGGTAACTTGCCTATCTGGTATTTACTTTCCCATGGTCAGAACTGCAGGCTGCTCCCTCCATTCTAGCTTTTTGAGATCTATAAATAAAGACAGAGGTGATTGTTAGTAGGCTTGAGAGACAGAATGATCTAGAGGATGGGGGGGGGTTGCAGAGACTCTCACACGAGTGTTCTCTATGCCCCTCCCTCCATCAGCCCACAAGTCAGCCCCATGAGTCAGATTTCTGAGTTGTCCCATTAGGGCCACTTTCATTTCCCTTAGGTCAGGGTGGGGGCTGGTGTAGAAAGAGGAACTAAGCCTCTGTCTTCTTAAGCTTGGGGGCAGGGCTGGGAGCCTTTCCTCCCTCCCTGTCCAAAGCTGCCATTACTATTCATGGGTCAATGACAGCTGAGCTGTGCTCTGCCCTCAAGCCTGTAGAGCAACACTCTGCTAACCTGGACGTGGCATGTAGCAGCCACAACCCAAAAGATAGTGGGTTGCAGGGGAAACCGAGGCTCCATACTGCAAAATCCAAGCAAACCTGCCTGTTTTGTCCCTTAGCTTGCTGAGTGTTTCCTCTCTAAGCAACCGGTGGCATAGTGGCCTCCCTCTTTTCTGCCTCTGACCCTTGGTACAAGACCAAGGGCGTGGACAAGAGAACATCCCAGGAGTGAAGGACAAGATGGAAAGCTAGACTGCTGTGTGTTTCCAGTTGTGGCTGGAGGAGAGTGAGGCGGCAGAGGGGGGCACTGGGGTTTCCTATGTCCTGTGGACCTAACCCTAGTGAAACAGACTGTGACCTGCCCAGGGGCTTGCCTTCAGTGGGCAGCTGCTAGGCCTTGGCCTGCTCTTCCTGCCACCATGTGTGTGACACAGGTCTGTAAACAACTAGAGCAGTATTTCTCAACCTGTGGGTTGTGACACCTTTGGGGATCAAATGACCCTTTCACAGGGGGTCACATATCAGATATTTACACTATGATTCATAACAGTAGCAAAATTACAGTTGTGAAGTAGCAATGAAAATAATTTTATGGTTGGGGTCACCACGCATAAGGAACTGTGTTAAAGGGTCACAGCATTAGGAAGGTTGAGAACCACTGCTCTAGAGGCTTCTAAGCACTGAATGAACATGAGAACAGGAGCAGGAACCGAAAGCTAGGGCACTGATGGCTTCAGAGTGGTGCCATCTAAGCTGGGTGCCCAGTGTCATTTGAGTGGGCTAATGGGACTTCTATAAATAGGTCTGGGGGAAGAAAGCATCATCCCTGAGAGAAACTGAGGAGGAATGCCAGTGCTGCGGATGATCTTAGCCAAAAGGTCAAAAAGTGACGGAAGTGCTCTGCAAGCTGGATATGAACGCATCCCTACCCCATTCGCACAGTCTGCTTCTGTCTAAAGCTGAGCTAGAATTCTAGTTTGGAGGATTTGTTGGGATGGGGAAGGACAGTTCCAGGGAAAGACTGAGCAGGAACAGGGGGGATAAGGCAGGAGGGATAGCCACCCCAGAGAAGTGCCTGTTGCCCCGTTGGCCCCCTCCATGCAAGGGAGCCAGCTTTGACTGTGTTGGGACAACTGGGACATTTCTCCAGGAAGGCAGCAGCTGGGTACTTACTGATCGCACCTCAAAAAATGGATGGTCTGTTGAAGGAAAGGGCCCACAGCACCCTCGAGCACAGAAGCCCCCCTTTCCCTAGCAGAGATCACAGGTTCGGTGAGTCTGTGACAGGAAAGCTGAGGGGCTGGAAAGCAGGCTTGGCCTCAGCCGCCTAAACGGACGGGAGAGAGATGTGACTCCTCCACCCAGGGCACGGAGGTCTCACTGTGAATCTGCTGAGCTCAGCTTGCTTTCTCCTGCAGAGCCCTCTGCCATGAACCAGCCGGCCCCGGGGGTTCCCCCACCACCCCGCCGTGTGAGGCTGAAGCCCTGGTTGGTGGCCCAGGTGAACAGCTGCCGGTTCCCAGGGCTTCAGTGGGTCAACGGGGAAAGGAAACTCTTCTATATCCCCTGGCGCCATGCCACAAGGCATGGTCCCAGTCAGGATGGAGACAACACCATCTTCAAGGTAAGACTTGGATAAGGTGCTGTCAAGACCTCTGGGGCAGCGGAGAGAGATGCACAGTCATCTCCTGGAGGCTGTCCACTCTGCCAGCTACAGTGTTCAGGGGGCCACATACCTAGACTTGGACACAGGATCGCCTCTTATAAGCTGTAGCCTTGAGCAAAGTGGGGATGGAAGGTCTCTGGGAGGCCTTCCTGTAACACCTTGTAATGCTCCTTGCTCTTGATGTTACACAGGAGTACACATTTAGCATATGTGTGTACTAAATGAAGCCAGTAACTCAGCTTTTAGACACCAAATCTTTTAGTTTTGGTCTGGGTTTTGAGTCAGGGTCTCACTATATAATGTCCAGCTAGCCAGACTCTGTCGTTGTCAAGGCTGGCTTTGAACTTGTCATCCTCCTGCCTCAGCTTCCCAATTGCTGAGATTATAAGCATGTACCACCATGTCCAACAATCTCTAATCCTAATGGTGGACAGGCCTTACCACAATAGTTTTACAATAGAATATATAATTATAATGTCTTACGGTTTCTCCTGTATGGGTGTGTTTTATTTGAGATAGGGTCTCCCCATGTAGTCTTGGTTGACCTGGAACTCACTAAGTAGATTAGACTGGCTCTAAACTTGTGACAATCCTACCTCTGCTTCTAGTGTCTTCGGATTACAAGCATGCACTACCATGCCTAGCTGAGTTTCCAAAGAAATCTTTATGCTAGGGATCAAGGCCAGCCTTGTTCATGCTTATGCACACTTTTTATCTCTAGGGATAGCCCCAGCCCATGCTTTGTTTATTTATTATATTTCTTGAAATATTCTTTTTTTTTTTTTTTTGGTTTTTTGAGACAGGGTTTCTCTGTGTAGCTTTGGAGACTATCCTGGCACTCGCTCTGTAGACCAGGCTG